GAATGATGAACACACTTGAAATTAACTGAGAAGCATTTCTGCTTTCAACAACTTACTAATTTCAGAGCAATCCACCTCATTTCTACACTTTCATATCATACTGTGCTCTTGTTTTTCATTTAGAATCTTATGTCATTTAAACATTCTTAAGTCCTTTGTGATTTACTGTGTACCTTTGTACAACTGGAGGAAACTGAAAACCGCAGTCTATTTTAAAAGAATTGACTTTACTACTGTGAATACCCGCAGGAGCTGAAGGACTGAAGACAGTTTGCAAAGATGGAGCATTACACTGTGACCTCTCCTTAACAGCAATAAAACTGAGGCTTGAATTCTGTACCATCTGGCAGAGCTTGTGACCTGGAGACAAACAGCATCCCCAAGGCTTGCCTGGGTTTCAGCAGCATTGTTTCTTTTAATAAAAGACAACATACAACACCATTAGGTCATAATCCTTCCTAGAGCTTCCAGTACTGCAAGTTCTGCTTTTAAGGGGCCAGATCAGCAGGAACCATGCTGATAACACCACAGAACTGCATCTCTAAGTGATCAGAGACTGATGTTTCAGGGAGACAGTCCTGCAGGAGTACAAGGACAAGCTATGTAATATAAGGGACACAGCTTCTTGCAGTTGGAGATGCCTTTAGGAAGGTCTAGAGCACAAGTCTTAGGAGGAGTGGCTTGGAGAGCTGGGGTTGTTTAGCCTGGAAAAAAAGAAGGCTCAGGGGGTACCTCATGGCTCTCTACAACTACATGAAAGGAGGTTTTAACAAAGTAGTAGCCAGTCTCTTCTCCCAGGTAAAAAGTGATAGAATGGAAATGCAACAGTCCTCTGTTGTGTCAGGGAAGGGTTAGATTGGATATCGGGAAAATTTTTTTCACCAAAGGATTATCAAGCATTGCTGGGAGGGTCGAGTCACCATTCCTGGAGGTATTTAAAGGATGTGAAGATGTCATGCTTAAGAACATGGTTTAGTGGTGGATTTGGCAGTTCTGGGTTAACAGCTGGACTGATCATAGGAGTTTTTTGCCAAGATAACTGATTCTATGACTCTATGATTCTATAACTCATTTGTTCTTCAAACACTCAAAAAAAAATAGTATTTCGGTCTTGGCCTTGAACACTTCAAGGGATGGGGCACATACAGAATCAGAGAATCAGTTAGGTTGGAAAAGATCTCTGAGACCATTGAGTCCAACCTATGACCTAACACCACTGTGTTCCATCAACCTAAAAACTTCATTAACCCTGATCCAAGTACAAGCCCCTCTACAGTGGGCACAGCAGATTTCAGGGATGCTGTTCAGATGGAGTGACACTGCACCAGTTTGGCATGGAGAGCCTTTATTGCTTATGGTGATGATTGAGGGGGCAAAGTCATAGGAGGTTGGGAAAGATAAATCTGGAATGATTTGCTGAAATTTACAGGGCCTTGCTGGATATTTACTGATAAATACAGCACACTTCACGAGGAAATACTGAAGAGACAAAGGTGTCTGACAGCATTGCTCATCCCAATGTGCAGGTCCAGACAAAGCTTTGCAGGGAAGAGAAGGTCTGTCTGTAGCATCCACTAACTAGAAGGGTTAATCGTGGTTGGATGACAGGAAAAAGCAGCAGCATTTTACAGTCATACCCAATTCCCCATTTTCAGCAGCCTCATTCACAGCCTCCTAATTTTCTCTCTGAATTATCTGAGACATTAATAAGAGTCTTTTCCACTCCCTACTTTGTGTGACCTTTCTAATTAGGAATACTGAACAAATGTATCTGAGAAACAGCCTGGCAGCAGCAAGTGGCCTTGGTTCACTGCATTCAGGACATGGAAAATGTTCTGCTCTCCCAGGGACAACAGGAAAGCTACAATTGGTGACTCAGCATTAGCCCAGTAACTGCTCTCCAGGGAATTGAAGACAACCCCTCCAAGCATTCCTGCCTATTTTTGTGCACAGAGGGATCACACAGCAAAAAATGCTCCTTGAAGCAATTCCTTACCTCTGCCAAAGACGTATCTCCCATCAACTAACAATTATAAAGCCCTGTCAAGCTTTGCCTCACAATCCACATCCAGGCAGCAGCCCATACTGAAATCTGGGTTTTTTTGTAAAACAGCTGTGCTCTGTGCAAGGCAGACGTGGCATTTCATTAAGCACAGGGTAATAGCTTGATTCCCTTAGGGACTTGCTGCTGGAAAATAGAACATCTCCTTTCACAAAGAGGCAAGGTCACCATGTTTGTTTTGGATTTGATGCCGAGATAATAGGGTATCTGTTCATTATACATTGAATATTAATGTACTAATGCACCTGCATGTAAAACTAATTTTATAAAGGAAAGCGGCCTTATATTAATTTTCAGTGCCTATTCAGCTACAGAATGCAAAGAATTCTGATTTATGCCCAAACTATTTTCTGTATTTTACTTTCCATGTTGGATTCGGAAGTTGAAAAATTCCAAGTAACCAACTGTTGAAAAGCACAAACTAAGTTATTTTGCCTGATCACACTGTATCACCCTTTTGTAACCCACAGCTTCTCTTGTATTTAACAGGAGTCATCTTCCAGCAGATTCACACGTACACACTGTGAAGAAGACAGGGCACGAATGTGACACCTCAGTGTTTAAACCCCTGTAGATATAATGATAAAAGCCACACAAATTTCACAGAGATATATGAAAAGGGATCAAAATTCTAAGCAAGTTGTTTCAAAATATTTCTAAGTACTACCAAAAATCAGGAGTCCCCAGAAGACCTTACCTGAAGAACCTAAACATTATGCAACTAATTTTAACCAATCTGCTTCACTCTGATTTTACTTCATCCCAAATACTCATTTTATCTCTTTGCTTAGAATATTTAGAAGTTGGCAACCTGTATTTCTCTGTTCCTTTGGTTCCTGGAATACTTACTTTCTGGATGTGCAAATAAGAAAATCCAGAAGCCAATACTAGGTCAAAGCTAAATGTAAAAGAAGGAGTTATTTGCAAACTGAATGTGTCATGGGTCAGTAGAGAAGATTACACGGTAGGATATGAAAGAAAAAATAAATTATATTCTCCTAAACCCAGTACAAATACTATTCTGCATTAAATCAGTAGTTTGTGGGGAAAGGAATAATTATGCACTAGAGTTTAGAAATTATAAAGGTACACGTAAATAGCACACATAAATACGAGAAAGGATTTTATTCTGAAGCTTCCTGTGCTTACTCTAATATATCTCATCAGAGACCATGATCAGAAATTTCAAATGCAAATGTTGTTTGAAGATTTGGAACAAAGTTTTGCTGCATTTTTATTTATTATATACCTCAGGGATTTCCCAAACTGGAGCATGCAAACCAGAACAGTAAATGAAAGGGCAGTCTCTAGACTGTGATCAACTAGAAAAGATCTGCAAAGATGTTAAAAGTAATGTTTCCTGCCCTCCTGGTCTGTCATTAAATTAACATCCAGTGGAATTAACAGTTTCATTTTTAGAAAAAAAATCTCCAAGGGTGTCAACATTTGTACATGAAACCCTTTAAGGAGTAGGGTTTCTGCCTTAGGCAAAGATTTTTGAGTAATTTTAAAATGATCAGCATCAGAAAGACACCTTCTTCCTTAAGAGGACCTGGATGACTTGTGAAAGTTTTTTTCTTCCCAAGGCTGCAGCGGCCTAACTTAGAGCTCTGCCTTCTCCTTTTCTTCATTTGACACACATTGGAGCAGGCTGCCAAAGGTTCAAGTAGAGGTTATCATGTCCTGTTTGCTGTTGGCAAGTCTAAAACTGCTGACACATGCTAGGAAGAAAAATAGGTACATCTAATACAGCTGCAACAATAAAAAAGCTACTAGGGAACCCCACCTAGAGCTAATAATACCTCCAAGCTGTGCTGCCCAACTGAAGAGATAAGCCAGCAGCATTTATACATAAAATGCAAACAGACCTTACCTTGATAAATATCTAGGTTTATCATTTTCTCAAGTGTTTTAAAAAACAAAAGGTAAAAACACAACACACTTGGGATTTTTTCACATTATCCACTGAGATGAAAGCTGGGAGTGGACTTGGCAGTGTGAGGTTAAGGGCTGGACTCAAAGACCTTGAGGGTCTTTTCCAACCTAAATCATTCTGTGACAGACTTGCAAAAAGCAACTTAATGTGACTGTTTCCTTTTATATTACTCACAAATTTTCCTGAATATGAAAACAATCTATCCTCTGTTAAAAACATACCAAAACCAAAAAATCTCTATTCTTGGGACATATGTAAGATTTTCCTAGCTTAATGCCTCAAAACATTAAAAGCAAAAAAGCATGTTTTCTGCCAGACCTATTTGTCTCAAAGTCACCTATTTTACCTCTAACTTCTGCAGAAGGAGAAGGATTCTTCCAGTCAAGTCTTGTTCAAACTTTTCAACCAATACTCCATAAAGATATGTTGACATTTCTCAGGTTAATTCCTAGTAATTCCTTGGCTGCTAGGGCCAGATCTGTCCCTTCCTCTCATTTCACATCAGCTATGTACAAATTCACACTAGCATTAGACATGAGCTTGAACTCTGGCATTTATCATAGCTGGAGGAGTGTGAGCAAGTTCACAACCTCACCACTGGCTTCAAATCCAGAGGATCTTGAGAATCTAGAGAGCCTCAGGCCAAGTCAGTGTCTCCTTGTAGATGTTTATATTAAATACAGTAAAGGGCTTTGACACTCTTCTTGCCACTATAGATTTTTTTCACTGGGATGGTAAACTAAACAGGATCAAGACACATGGGGGGAGATCACGCAAAATAGGACGCAAAAATATTACATTGTAATGCAGTGGCACCCATCAAAATCAGACATGTACAGGTTTGTTCATGTAAAATTCTTTTGGCTCCTTGTTTTAGACACAGTAAAAACACACAGCTGTTACAGCAGAAGTCAGCATTTTGCTCCTCATGAACTGAGCCGTTTGCTTCACCCAGCTAAATGGATTTCAGATTAGATTCCAGAATAAACCATATGAACTTACCTTACATTTCAGCATGTTGGCCACTCTCTCTTGCATTGACTGTCCAGCCTTTGGCCTGACAAGAATATAAACTGCTTTCACTTCAGGACTGGAGCGCAGAAGCTTTTCCACCAGTACCTTGCCCATGAAACCTGTAGCTCCTGTGATAAGTACGGTCTTCCCATTGTAATAAGCTGAGACTGAAGACATGGTGCTTTCTTGTTCTGTCCCTTCCTGAAGCAGGTACCTGAGAAAATTCAGAAATGAAGTTTTAAAAGCTTTTGGGATAACCTTTTTAGTCACCTAGGTCAACTCAAATTAGTTCAGTCAATGGCAATTTTAAAAAATTTTTTTTTTAAAAAAGCTTTATTATGAAAATAAGCCATAAAAATCTGAGAAGCTTAAAAAAAAATCAAGCTCAGCCTTATCCTCCACATGACACCACAGCTGCACACAGAGGTCAAACACAGCTCATGCTGTCCAAGGCTCCCAGCAGGAGATGCTCACTGCAGTGCTGACAGTGTTTATCTGCTACTGTGAAGTGGCAGCCATGAAGATATGCAGCTACCCCTACAAGACAAAGGAGAAAAGAAATTTCCTCATAAACACTGCTGTGTTTTCCACTTCAATTCCACTGCGCCTACGGCATTCCTTGTCAGCCATCACTCATCAACATGCTCAGTCTTTTCCTGTTGCCTTGGCTTGGAACAACACCATGAAGAAAGCTCTTCTTCATGGAACACAGTGCAGTGACATTGCTCTGCACAACTGCAATACCACGTGCAGGTCACAACCCTTCACGAGCTATTATGGCCAGAATTCATCCCAGTTCACTCTAACAAGTGTAGACATGATAGGCTCCCCTATGGAGATCCACTGACATGGACCAGGCTCCCACATGATGTGTCCCAGTTAAATATTTTAATTAGATACAATGGTTTCAGGCCTGAATGTTCCCAGCCATCCTGATTCAAACTCTTAAGTTGATTAAATGCAAACAAAGCTGGACTGAATCCTCTTAGAAAAGCCCTTCTTCCCCTATTAGCCTAACAGAGGCAAAACAACCATCTTTGAAGTGGGGCAGACCACAGCAAGCACAAAACACACGCTGTAAGGAAAAGGGTCATGAAAAACACCAGTAAATGTTTTGAAAAAAGCCTACGGAATTTGAAACAAAAAGAAACAAGAATAGTAGAATGCTGAAAATCACCAATTCAAGAACCAGAATGATGATCTTCAAGCATCCCAGAAAAACTCTTCCAGCAGAAACTACAGACATACAAACTAGGGAGTCGAGCCCAACAAAGTATTACTTTTCTTTCCCAGTGCTGCCTGGGACCACAGCACTCAGCATCAAACAAATGAAAATCCCCAAATTTCTTTACCCATGACAAATCATCAGGTGTAGAATCCAGTTTAGAAAGTAGGTCAAGCAGAATAACCTCTCAGGGACACTATTTTACAAACTAATAGCTGTGGGTATTCTGGCTCAGTGAATTTGGTTATTAGCCTACTTTCAGATGTCATCAAGATTATAACTTAGATGAATACAGAAGGCTCATTTAGGCCTATTAAAAACCTGTTCTTATTAAAGAGCTGGCCACTTGGGAAGTTAAATCAACACGTTAAAACTACTGGATAATTAACTTATTTATAACAAAATGTCACGTCTTGTTCCGGTTCAGAAAAACTGACTTATACTGGAAGACAGGAACTTGCAAAGCCAAGGAGCATGTGAAAAGTGTGTAGGGCCAGAAGAAAGTTGTAGTTTAGCCAGATGAAGGCAAAAAATCTCAGAAACTTGGCATGACACATGCCCTGCAATATAGAAAAATGAAGGAGAGAAGTCCTTAGTCACTAGAGGTCATACCAATCTCAGTCAACAACAGGAAAAAAGATAAAATATAACAACCACTTCCAGCCACTGGACACTTGCTTTGAATTAGTATCCAGAAGATCATATCTGCATAAACAATGGTACATTTATAGAGTACTTAGCACCACAAACTTGGAGATTACCAGAGGACTTACTCTCCTCCCCACACTTCAGAAGTAAAGAGCATTTCCAATTTGCATCAATAAGAATTGCTGCTTTGCCTTAAGAGTTGTAGAGTACTGCACAAACAACTGTGAAAGGCTTCCACATGTGGACAACAATTTATTATGTTGTTTCATTTGGGTTCCCAGCTTCAGTCATCTAAAAAGAGCTTCATTTGTTGTGGCCAGATGTTCAATGCCTGCTAAAATAGTAAAGTAAACAAATCACACTACGTTGAAGTGTCCCTATAATTAACCATGCAGCCATGTTTCACTAAGCATTTCTGACAAGGACTACATGCACATAACTGACAGTTCTTCTCCATCTAGACTGAGACCATTTTGAATGTCCAAGTACAAAAAAAACCCAAAAATTTCAATTGCCAAGCCATTCTTGTATGATGAAAATGGAAGTACCAAACATATCTACTGAAAAAACAAACTTTCAAGGCAATCTGCTGTTACTCTTGATTACTGGCTTATCCTCCTAGGGTTAAAAGAAAAGGGAAGAAAAATCCCATTCTTTCTATTTTCCATAATAAACCAGTCCAAATTAGGCAGCCTAGAGTTAGTAGGGCAAATTTCAGAATTGGATCCAGTTACTTGGCCTCATCCCAAATAAGAAGCCACAAAGAATGAGATGGTGTTTGCCTGTTATGGGAGCAGATTCATGTCTCTTAGCAGTACATTTACTTTTCTATTTCCTAAGTAAACTTCAGAAGAAATTATAAAAATCTTGTACTCATCTGATGCCATGTTAATTATCAGGAAAAAAAGAGTGGATTTGTTTAATGCACATAAACAAATTCATGTTTTGAGATCATGACACAAAAGCCAGAATGCTGCAATTTGGCATGTTCAGACAGAGCTCTGAATCTCCACTGGTCAAGCAAATTTAGAGGCTTTTATTACATTTCATGTTCAAAGGTAGATTCCAGTTTATATTCAGTATTGCTAAGATATTTTCCTTTCAACTTGATCTTGAATTTTTTATTTTGTACATCTATTTTTGATTTTTTAAATGATTTTAAGAGTGTGATTAATTTTTCTCTGTTTTTATTGAATTTCCTTGGCCTTTGTAAAGAAAGTACTAAAGAACACATGGAGATTTTAAGGAACCAGAGGATTTCTGAGGTCAAAGGGTGTGACCCAAATAATGCCTGCTAACCTGACCCTTTGGAGGTCCGCTTCAAACCAGGGAGAACTACATGCATGCCTTTTTGACTTTTAAAATTGTAAAACTGTTTCCTGCAGAAGGTTATACTTGGCCTTTCATCTTAAGGAATAAATAGCCAATATTGAGCACTGACTATTTTCCAGTCAATTAAACTACAAGGCATTAAATGCCTGGTACAAGTACTTGAACTATGGTCAGAAGTTGCAGAGAGATGACCCTTAGTGAGGTAAAGAAGGATAAAGACTATTTCATAGGCTGAGGTTCCTGGCTCTTCCACATCTGACTGGAGGTGAGAAAGCCATTGAATTGTGAAGAAAAGCCCATGCAAGAGCTTCCTGAAGCCCAGTTCAAGTGAGTATATACAGGCAACTCAGATGCTTCAGGCACTAACTGGAGCAGGAAAGTAATCTCTGATGCCACCTGAATTACTGAGCGCAGCATCTCTGCAGAAGCACAAATCTCTCTGATGCTGACTCATTTCCAGCCAGAGCATGAAAAACCCACGAGCCAGGAATCCCACTGAGCCAGGAATCCCACTGAGCACCTCTGCAGACAGAAGTGCACAAGCTGTTCTGAGGGTACTGCTGCTTCTCACAGTCTCCTCCGGATCAAACAGAAAGGACAGGCTACAGTGCTGCGTTACAAAAAAAGCCATGATCTTGTGCCAAAGGACAAGCAAAGGGAAAGGTGGGAATCCTAATCCTACCAACTCAATGCTTCCCTCATGTAAAAGACAACCCTTGTATCCTCAGCTGAATAGCACAGGTGAAGAGCAGGCATGTCTGAGCTGATATTCAACAGAACAACTACTCCACGTTCTCATCTTTCATGCATTTTGGTGACGCCAAATCTGCATCCAGATTGCACTGGTGTGACACAGAGAGTTGGTTGCTACCAGAGCCAGAGGGATGGGAAGGGAAATGTGGACCCGAACCTCACTGAATGCTGTCACTGCCACTGCCCACGGCAGCCCCATGGCTGCAGGGGGTCAAGGAGGGACAGCAAAAGGGAGGATGGGCAATGGATGTGGACTGAGGTGAATATTTCAGTATGGTCTGCATCACTGCCCTGTTCAAACAAGACAGCAGCCATTTCAGAAGCTGATCGGTTGAGATATTTTTCTTTTCAACTCATCTGCATAAAATGAAAAAAAAGTTAGTTTTGTGCAAGAGCAAAGGACCATATGCTTATAAATGTACATCCAGATTCAAAAATGGTATCTCTGACATCTCCTTGTACTTAGACTAGTTTTGATGAGCTTTTTCTTGCACAACTTTATGCAGGGATGTAATTTCCATAAAGAAGAGGATCAGCCTCTTCAGACGAGTCTTTCATACATCATATTCAACGTAATGAACTGGCTTCAACCAAAATTACACTTAATGACAAGCAATAGGTTTTGGAAAAAATGCTACAGACAGCAAGAGTCCTTTAAGACAAAATAATTTTTGGCCACTTTCTGAAAATAAATTTTTCATTTTGAGCGAAAATATCCAACCATACATAAGAGTTTTCTTTAATCAGGATTCTAGAATAGTTATAATCAACCTGGAACATGCAGAGAAAAATTCCTGTTGCTTCAGAGAACTTGTATAGTTGAGGTCAGAAAAAGCAATGTAAAGTGGTCACAGACTATTTCTGTCTCATCAATTTATTTCCTCAGTCTATTAATTATTCTATGAGTTTTAAATGGATTGAACGCTGGGGATGCCTGAACAATACATCTTCATAAAATTATTCTGTCTTTTACATTTTGTCCCAGGATGTATTACAGAGACTCTCCAAAGTAGGCAAGTAATTATAATACATAAAAGCAACTATTTCCAATACGTGTTTTTTGCCTGCAAGCATTTATTGTTTGTTTAATCAATACACACCACGCATGCTACAAATAGGTGAAATAGTGACTTGTTTTATATCATACTAATTTAACTCCTGGCTCCTCAGTAACAGAAGCAGAAGGTCATTTTGCTCCTTTGATTTCATTTTCTGGGCCAAACTCACAACCATAGAAGTTCCAGTGCAATGACCAA